TTTTGCACTTTGAACAAGTTCCTTTGGGGATATCAGCAGACACCAAACTTTAGAGGCTCCAGTCCGAGAACCACCGCAAGCTCTGGAATGTCAAGCAGTTTAACAGTCATGGAAAAGCTAATCAACAAATTAGTTGACCAGTGTTTTTATGGCCATCTTGTTTGGGGGGTGGAAGGCGGGGAGAAAAGGGACCAAGACAGGCATTAAATGACATGAATAAAATGAAGTTGTCCTGTTTGGGCTTGTTCACTGACCTCGCTACTGGGCCACTTACTTCCAATTCCTTCCATCCACTCACCCCGAGGGCCAAACAGACCTGTCCTGATATAGGTTTGCCACACGGTTTTTATCTTTCAAAATAAAAAGATGACAAGGACTTAGCTGCCAGATGTGTGCGAGTCTGGCTGGGGGCCAGCAGGGAGACTGCTGAGGGAAGAACCAGGAAAAACTCACAGCCCAGGGCTACTGTCATCAGATCACTATATAAAGCAGGTGTGGCCTATTCTGCCCTAATCTTGGCAGAGCCATTAGCCACCTGTCTTGACAACTGCAGACAATACTCCCTGGAATGACGATCCATAGACACTGTTGGCCCACGGGGACTCCTCTACCCAGCTGCCCCTCATCCTGCATCAGTGATTCTACTTCTCCACACTCCATGCCTATTAGCCAGTCTATATTGTGTGCAATTCCACAGGCATACCATGTAGATGATTAGCTTCCCTCCCTGCCGTCTCTTAGATAGTAACAAACATAAAAATAAAACTTTTTTTTTCTCTTTTTGCTTTAGACATATATATTTGAGGTCATTTTTAACAGTGTAGATGTACTGATTGGACTGTTTCCAGATTTTCCCTCTCTCCTCGGAGCCTCCACTTCTGCTGAGTGGAAGGAGGAAGATTGTCCACATCTGCTGGGAATCACCTTGGAGGCCCTTCTGCACCTGGGAAGTAGTACCTGGCTCAATTTGGCACAGGGGCTCCCTTCCTCTGCCCTCCTTTAGCATTTACTACCTAGACTGCTCATCGGATGCTAGTGTTATAGCCGCCATCTTTTGCTGTGAGCTTCTCTTAGTGTGTATTGTCTTTTCTCCTCAACTTGACTTGCAATGTCCAACAAGCCAGCAACCATCCCTTAATCTTCTCTCATTTCCATAGTGCCTTGCTTAAAAAATCCTTTTTTATTTGTACATCTCCATCTCTATCTCTGTGTATGAATGTGGAAGGACATACAGGAATCACACTCCACATTTAAAAGCAATTGGCACTGGACGAGTTAATCAAAATCTGTTCATCTTAGCAGAAAGTGTCTTTCACCACATTTGGTTGGACAAACACCAAATTGCTAGTGCTACACTCCAGACGCTAAAAATAAAGTAGCGCCTGGGTGGCTTAGTTGGTTAAGCGTCCAACTTTCGCTCAGGTCATGATCTTGCGGTTCGTGGGTTCGAGCCCCACGTCGGGCTCTGTGCTGCCTGCCAGCTCAGAGCCTGGAGCCTGTTTCAGTCTGTGACTCCCTCTCTCTCTGACCCTCCCCTGCTCACGCTGTCTCTCTCTCTTTCCTAGAAATAAATAAAACATTAAAAAAAAAAAGTAGCATTTAATTCTGAAGGAAAAATTCCATACTAACAGGATCAGGCTAACAGGACTAAGGACAAAAGAAAAAGTGACATAGCTTCCCAAATGAGTGTCAGAAATTTTGTTGACCAAATTAACCGGGTTTACTTATTGCGTGTTATGTGCACACAGCATGCTAAGAGTTTTATGGGCACTCTTTCCCTTAATCTTCACAGCAACCTATGAAGTGGGTATTATTATTTGATTTCACAAAGAAATGAAGGCAAAGAGAGCTCAAATAACTTCCCAAGGTTGGTAAACAGCAGAATTAGGATGCAAAGCCAGATCGGTCTCACTTGATCACAATCCTTTATTCCCTTTTCAATTAATTCACCCCCTCCCTTGATGTAGATTTCCCAACTATAACCTGTAGGTTCTCATTTTCTCATTCCTAATGAGGGTCGAACCCCAAAACAACAGACTTTTGAAAGAAAAAACCAACCAATCCTTCTTCAAAGATAGTCAAATGAAAGGACTGAGGAACATACGTACTTACCTTGGCTCTACAAGACTTTGTCTTGAAGTTTTTTAATCTGTCTCTTCTTCTCCATTATCACCCACCCAATTCCTGTTTAGACTCTGATCACCTCTTCTCCAGACTACTTCAACGGCCTGGTTCCATCAACTCTAACGTCAGAACTTATCCAGAACATGACCACACTTATTAACACCCCCACACCTCTTAACAAAGCTTTGAGCTTCTACCCCTGACCCTCTACAGTTTAATCCCAACCCATCAATGTGTCCTTTTAAAAGGTCACATACAACTCTGCTCAATACTAGCTCTAGCCTTATCTCCCACTACTCAACCCTTAGCTCATTCCACACATGGCTTCCTTCTTTCTTGAGCCAACATGACATGCTTCTGCCCCAAGGTCTTTGCATTGCCTATACCCTCTGTTTGGGACCCTTTTCTCCAAGACATTTGCATGGCACTTCACCACACTTAATGCCTTTGCTTAAAAACCTTGTGTCTCAGTGAAGCTTTCCCTCGATACCCTGTTTAAAATTGCAATCCATGTTCTCACCCCAGGACTTCCAACTTGTTCTGTTTGTTTTTGGCCATGACATTTATTACTTTCTAACATTCTACATACCACATTTATTGTGTCTATTGCATCCTCTCTCTTCAACAGAAGGTTAATGAGGGCAGGAATGTTTATGTGTTTGTTGCCGAATCCCTAACACCTAGAACAATGCTCAGCACACAGGATGTGGTCAGCAAAAATGTGTTGGCTTAATGTTTTAAACTCTTAGTTAGTTCTTAGTAGTTAATTCTTGATAGTTCTTACTAGCGAGAAAAACTAATAACCCCATGTCATTGTACTATTTTTACCTTGGGGCTTTCTGCACTCTTGGGGTTCTTATCCACTCTGGGAGACACTCATTGACCTGTTTGAAAAGTCTGGGGATAATGAAAAAAAAAAAAAAAGTATGGGGATAGGGAGCTATCAAAGCGAGAAATGATATGGTAAGATCTGCATTTCAGTCAGTCTGTTCTAGCTCTGGGGGTGGACTCACAGAGGATAAGCCTGGAATTATGAGTCCATTCCAATATTCAGGCAAGAGATAATGAGAACTTGATAAATATCCTGGAGACAAGAGGGAAAGGTTCAATGACTGGCTGGATGCTGGAGGATGGTGGAATGGGACTGATCCTCAGTTTTTGGCGGGGTGACCGAACACACATGCTGGCAGTAATGTAGACACAGCATACCAGAAGAATCCCACTTGGGAGGGACCTGGGGAGAGAAGTCCCTACACGTAGCTTAACATTCACTTTAGCAATTCTTTGAAAATCACTAAAGTAATTAGGGCAAAAACAAAAACCCACCAAAACCCCAAAACCAAAAAACCTCAACTAAGGCTACAGAGCAGAATACAAACAACAAAAAAATCCTACAAGATTATTGCTTATGTCCCCATTTATCGGTAGCACTGAGCTGGCCTTTGAACGTGCAGATTCCCTTCAAAGGAAAGAGGCAGGAATGTCTTCTGGGTTAAAATTTCACATGGGTTAAAAGTCAACTGTGCATCTGAAAATATATATCTACCAAGATTCCTGTAGATTTTGGTGACAATGAGTTGCCCCATTTCTCACGAAAACGACTTCAGAAGTAGGCAATTTTAAAAGCTGCCATCCTAAATATCGCTAAACAAAGATTACCAATAAAATAGTTCAATCCAACTCTTAGGCGACCACCAGCTTTACCCTCATACCTTACCTGGAAAGTTGTCTCTATTTAGCTTAGGTCTGCGGACTATCACAAAATCCTTGTCATTCCCCTTGCTCTTCAGCCGTTTTCGAGGGGGGCTCTGAGGGTGGCCCAGGTTTGAGAGCAGTTCCTGGGGGATATTCTCACTGTCCACCTCTTCTTTCTCCAGGGCGGAGACCCCCATGCCTGACAACAGTTCAGAAGTCTTGCTAGAATCCCATCCCCATGTGAAGCTGGTAGTAACGTTGCTACCCTGGTCGGGAATCTCCTGAAGGTGTTTCCTGCAAAAATGCACAAAAGCCCTGTTCTTTCAAAAAACACACCCGTAAATAATTAAAAGATAGGCCTAAATGAGACTGCAAGTTATGCAATGCAGAAAACTTTCACAGTGGCTTATAGAATTGCATTTAAGCGGCGGCGGCGAGTTTCCAAGGAGGAAAGAGAAAATAACCGAACAAATCAAAAAGGCTTTTTGATTTACGATCCCGTAGAAGGCCTCAAGAATGTCTTAAAGTGGAGGAGACAGACAAGAGGGAGGGCAATCTTACAGCGACTGAAAGTAAGGAAAGCTCAATAAGGGAAGTAAAAAAAAAAAAAAAAAACCGCACGCTGATCACCGCACTAAAGCATCCAGCCATCCACGATTTCCCAAAAAAGGGACTAAGCAACTATTCACTTTACAGCATTAGTAATATATTAGCAATTAGCAATATTCGCGGCCTAAAACAATTAAGACGGCTCATGCACGTTGTGCTCCCTTTTGCAATCGGTTTACCTGTGCATGGCGTCTAAAGGTTCTGGAGTTTTAAATGGGTGCATTAATTGGAGAACTGCCCGCCTCCGGGATTCCCGCTTTGGCGCGCGGCGGCTCACGGCGTGCTGCTCCGACCCCCAGCAGCAAGACCCGCGAACTCTAGCAACGTTCCATCCTCGCCGCGCGCGCAGGGCTCTTCTACTAGCTCTTCTCCGCCGCGGCCGTCTGCAGCCCCACTGCCTGCTGGGAACTGTAGTTTCCGCCCTGCCTGTAGTCCCGCAGGCTCTCCGCTACTTCCTTCCTTGCTACTTTACCCGCCTTCGAGATACCCACAACCCCCCGCGGCTGGGGGCTGGACGACTCATGGGGTAGGCGGGGAAGCGGAAGTGGGCGGCCCTCCGGTTGGCTGGGAAATGTCAGCCGCTTGACTGGGGACGGGCTTTCCTTACGGCGGAGCTTGCAGTCCTTCTAGTGGTCGTCATCGCCGTCTCCTCGGAGCGTGGGTCCCAGATCCTGAACGATTGTGGCCGACGCGGTGTTTCCCGGTCCTTCCAGATGCTGTCTGGCGAGATCGGACGGTGAGCCCGATGGGGAGAGCGTGAGGCACTGTGGGGTCGAAGGTCTGAGGCCGAGAGCAGGCGGAGATCAAGAGATCCTCGGAGACCCCAAACAACCGCCGCCGCGGCCCTAAGTTCCCGGCCACGGAGAGGAGGCGGTAGCCCGGCCCTCTGGCCAGGTGAGAGGATGGGGGCCGCGGGCGTCACATGTACTCTCCCATCCGCCGAGAAGCTGCTTCCTTCATCGGGGAGAGGGTGACCCTTAGCACTGGGTCTGCGGACAGGATCTTTTCAACAGTTAAACAGGCACTAATGATAACGAGGGTCATCTCGACGGCTTGGCGTGAGGGTCAAGTCAGATAACGCTTGGGAAAGCGTTTTGTAAACAAAAGCGCAGTTCGAACGAAAGGCGAGGCGGTGTTGTGGTTTCAGGGAAGCAGGAGAACAGTGGTTTCCGTGTACTGTGGGAAGGCTGCGCAGAGCCTTTCAGCCTGGTCGAGTTTCATAAATGCTAGCAAGGGAACAAATAAGGGGACTCTATGTTTGCAAAGGGCTTTAGAGAGCAGTTCTAGGGACCACTTGCGGGGCCCTTCGGTTCGTTAAGACCCGCTACGTCTGGTTGCGTCGTAGTCTGAAAACAAGCTGCTTTTAGCCTGTCTCCGCGGGGAAGAGTTTGGAGGCGGCTGGAGGAGGGAGTGTGCCAGATTCCAGGTAGGATGACCGTGCGAAATCTGTTGTGCACACTATATCATAGCTGTGACCCGTGGAAAACAGTGGAAGAGAGAAGAGGAATAAATTCCAACCCTAATAAAAATGGAGAGGATTTATGAAGTTCGGAAGTAAGCAGACCCGCGTAAACACAAAAATATTAAAAGTATTACTTGGTATGTTGGATGACATACCTTAAAAAACAGTATGACATACAGTAAAAAAAAAATCACTTTTTGTTGGATTTAAACGTAAAACCTCTCTTGCCCAGGTATGTGTTTGTTTCAGCTTGGTGCTTAGCTTGAAAATGACCACTTCTTGATTGAGTAAGATATTGACGCAACTTTAGTTTTTTCTTGAAAGTAAGCAAAATTGGCGTAAAGATGGGATGTGCTCACAAATTAATTTTGCCTTAAACACTGTGAAAATACTGAATTGTATTTTCAATAGGTTGAACTGTCACAATTCATTAAACTGATGTTATGGAAAATATTTTTAAATGCAATATTCTGATTTTTCATGTCAAGTCACCTTTATGTTACTTTGGCTAAGGAGAAAGCAGTTGCCTGGGTTTGGAATCTACATCCTTTCCCTTAAATTGGCATCTCGTTAGAAAAAATAATTTATCAAACAAAAAGTTATAATCTCCCTCAAGAAAGACAGAGGGAATGTATCTGTTAATGGAAGAGAAAGAAAACAAAAAATTTTAAATGTCATGATGAGAATAAACAACATTTTGAGATATAAAGCAGATCTTATAGATAGAAAGATGTAACAGGATAATTTTGAATTTAAAGATGAGAAATATTCTAGTGGTAGGATTTCACAAGTATTTACCTAGGAGCCAGGGAACGTTTCTAGTTCTCAGAATACTTGATATATCTGAATTGGTGGACAGGAGGTCCTCAATAGGACTTCAGAGATAGCCTGTCAACTTTGAAAATCAGTCTTCAAATTCTGTAATAGATATCTTACTAACAGTTTGCCTTGGCAACAGAAAAATATTAGCTTGCTGAAATAGGAATCATTTTTTTCTGCATTTCTTCTAATCATGGCTGTTTTCTATCCATAGTAAATAAAAGTTTAAATTGGTACATGTGTCTGTTTGGTATAAGGAATTGTGTCCATTGAAGAGATTATTCGCTACATAGGTAATTGCTGTCTCGTCTCTTCAAGAATTACACGTGATTGCTACCAATACGGATTTATTTTTCCTGATTAATTTTATTTATTTAATTTTGCTCAGCACACCCCATGTCCCATTTTAGTGGAGAAGTGTGAATATGTTCCTAAAACTAGAATTACTAGATCAGTATCTAGGACAAATGAATTACAATTGTTTTATCTCTGCAGATGACATTAGAGTAATTTTTAGGACTCTTTGGAACCTTGAGATAGAATACAAAGTGACTTTGGGGTTCCTGGATGGCTCAGGCTTGATTTCAGCTTAGGTCATGATCTCATGGTTTTTGAGATCGAGCCCTGCATCAGGCTCAGCCCTGGGCATGGATGGGCATGGAGCCTGCTTAAGATTCTCCCTCTCTCTCTCTCTCTCTCTCCCTCTCTCCCTCCCCCTCCCCGCCTCTCTCCCCCCTCCTTCCCTCCCTCCTCTCTCTTTCTCTCCCTCCTTCCCTCCCTCCCTCTCTCCTCTCTCTCTCTCCTCTCTCTCCTCTCTCCTCTCTCCTCTCTTTCCTCTCTCTCTTTCTCCCTCCCTCCTTTCCCTTCTCTCTCTGTCATCCCTCTGTCACCCCACTGTCCATTCCTCTCTCTCTCTCTCTTTCTCTCTCTCAGAAAATACAAAGTAACTTTGTAAATTGGGAAAGTGTTTATCATAAAAGGGACATGATCGGGGCGCCTGAGTGGGTTAGTCGGTTAGGCGTCTGACTTTCACTTAGGTCATGATCTCGCGGTTCGTGGGTTCGAGCCCCGCGTCGGGCTCTGTGCTGACTGCCAGCTCAGAGCCTGGAGCCTGCTTCAGATTCTGTGTCTCCCTCTCTCTCTGACCCTCCCCTGCTCACGCTTTCTCTCTCTCCTAGAAATAAATAAAACATTAAAAAAAAAAAGGACATGATGGCCAATATTATGAAGGCACAGGAGAGGCCAAAAAGGACTGGAAACTGCACTTGACAATAAGCTATATATATGTTCAGTAATATATTAGTGTTCTTTTTGAAAATCAAATATTACAAAAGAGATTGTATTTAAATAGAAGAGTGATGTGCTTTTTAGTTGCATCATAGCATGAAATCTTATTTAGCTTAAGGAATAAAAGACTAAGAACAATTACATAGCAAGAAGTTTCTACCTGCCCATCCAATTTCAAAAGGATCCTTTTCCCTCCATTAATTTTAAAGTAGATCTTTAGATCTCTGTAGTTTAATGTTCTCTGTGATGGACAGATTTGGGCAAGAACAAAAGGGTTCTTTCCCTATTCTGATTTGCCCTATGTTGTTTCTGCCTTCCTCATGTAGTTTAGAGTTAAATATTACTCTTAAGTATTAGCAGTCTTACCTGAAGGTAAAATTCTTAGTTAATCCTATATAAAACATGACTTTTCTAGTATTCTATCTTGATATATCTAAAGAAATAATTAATAGAATGTTTCTAATTTGTTTACTGTGAAATCCAAGCAAAAGAAAATATCCAAACAATTTAAATTGCATTAAGTGTGTTTGGAAAATGTAGTTAATGTTAAGTGCTAGCATAATGCTTGGAATCTAGTAAACTCATACTCAGTGTTAGCTATTCTTTTTTAAAAAATTATTTTAATAAGGATTCTAAGGGGTCACCTGGGTGGCTCAGTTGGTTGAGCCTCCGACTTTGGCTTGGGTCATGATCTCCCAGTTAGTGGGTTCAAGCCACACAGGGCTCCCTGCTCTCATCGCAGAGCCTGCTTGGGATTCTCTGTCCCCATCTCTCTCTCTGCCCCTCCCCTGCTTATGCTTTCTCTCTCAAAAATACATAAACCTTTATTTTTTTTTTAAGGATTCTAAAGATTATTCTTGAATTACCAAAATAAGTCTTACAGTCTCTTTGCCTGCAGTCTTTAAGAATCCATTATAATTCCAGTTGTTTTCTTCTTACCTGTTTACATGGTTTCTCTCTCTCTCTCTGTCTCTCTCTCTTTTTCTCTCTCTCTCCCTCTCTCTCGTGTGTTACCAAAAGCTAAGCACTTTGTATGTGTCTGTCTTTCTTCAGAAAGTCTTGTCACACTTTGGAATTAAGTTTACTTGATTGATTTGGCAACTCAGCTCATTTTTTGAAAATGACTTCAAAAAATATTACAACTGTTTTGTATTTTTAGAGGAGGAGCCACATTCTCTTGTGGTATATCCTAAGCTGAATTCTCCCTGTAAATCTAAGCATGAAATAATGGTTATATTTCAAAGATTTAACTTTTTATTGTTGACTTTCATCACTCCATCTAGTTGATACTTTCGATTTTTCATTAAGATTTGAGTTGCCCCCTAGTTTTTATTATTTCACGTATCTGAATAAAGACACGTTTAAATTTACACAGTCTGAGCCTGATGAATCACTAGGTTCTAGCTAGAAATCTTTCATTCAGTTTTGGAACCTTAGGTTTGGACAAAATATTTGTGTTCAGTTGCTACTACACACCTTCCCTTCCATCCTCCCTTCCTGTCTTTTCTTTTTCTTTCTCTTTGGAAATATTTGGGATGCTTCAAATTCCAAAATTTTCTTAACCTGTAAATTTTCCATTTAAATTTAGCCTAAAAACGACTAAAGTACTTGGGAAACAATACTCCAAGTCAGTAACATTAACAAGCTAATTATGAAAGGCATTTGAAAGGGATTGTATGATATCTTGATACTTGGTAAATGACTGAATTGGATTTTAAATGTTTAAGGCTTTTAGATCTGATATTTTGAAAGGTAGACTATGTCTTGACATGAAGTACTAAAATTTGATTGAATGAATGAATTAGCATTTTGATTTTGAGTAAAATCTACTTTTGCTGCTGTGGTGTTCATGCCACCCTATGATAGCGTTAAATCTCTTTTTTCAATTTCTAATCTCATGGAACTGAATTTTGATTTGCCTCCAAATATTTGCATATTCTCCTCTCATTTTTGTCATTTAGCCTAAACATGTTATTTTAATATTTGAAGAATATTACTAGAAGGACCACTTTTGTGGGCAGAGGCAAATTTCCTCTTTTGCCCTTGAGTATATTTTTGCACAGCTGTACAGGGTTACAGGACAGCAAATGATCCATTTTTATCTACCTCCACTTTGATCACGTGCCTAGGAGAATGGGCTTGTCTTTCTACATGACATTGGTATGTCTCGTACAGTTTCTTGACGTGGTTCTGTCTCTTCACAACAGACAGATAGATGAAGGGGTGTTTGTAGACCTATGTGGGTAATCCCAGTTTGTCAAGATAGGCAAGGAAGCAAATTCTTGGAGTGAAGATCATTTTTTGTTTTATAGGAATGAGAGTGGGC